TACTGCAAAGTATGAAGTGACAGCCTTGCTGGGATAAATTCTGATGGAGAAAAAACCAGCCGGGTCTGGAGGGTTGGGTGGCGCTGGGCCACTACTACAGCAGGGGGGATAATTAAACCTTTAGAATGTGCTGGTTGCTTTGGGTTTGGAGGACACAGACAACCACACAGGCATAAGTTAAGCCCAGAGGAGGCTTTCTGAGCCACACCCAGTGCATCTGTGGCTATGCTCCAGGACGCTGCAGCAAAATGCCCCCTGCAACCATGTAGGCACCAACTCAGCAAATGCGGGGTGCGCCTCTGGAACAGCAAAACTGCGGGCCACCACTTGTTCCTGTAGGCCACACCTCAAGTCCAATGGCTCCTTCCAAAGGTTACATTTTATTTGGGATGTGTCAGACACTTCAGCATATTAATTGTACTACTGCCTCTATGTATATAAATACATACCAGGACCCACACACACCCCAGTATCAGTACTCAAAATAGAACACTAATAGTGTCTGCATGGTTTTATTTTTATCATTTGTAAAGTGCTCTGAAAAAAGGGGGCTAATCAAATTAGCTAGGATTAGGTTCTGGGCAGAGGAGTCATTTGAGAGCTTTTCTACCAAATGCGGTCAATGCACCCTCAAAATAACAAACGTGGCTTGATCCTCTGTCTTGATGTTTCCTTTTTGGGTCCCTGCTTACCACTTGGGCCAGTATATGCAGTTGTAAAAGGGGACATGAGGCTTCCTGTCCCACCACATTTCATCAACCATAGTCCAATTCAGGTTCCTAAGTGCATAGCTGTTTTCTTTCTGATGAAAAGAAGCCACCCTAATCTCTCCTCAGGAGACTGTGTGTGTGTGAGCTCCTGTGTGTCCGTTACTCTTTGATTTATTTATGACTTCAATTCCTGCTGCTTCTTTTAGTGCCCATTTCTCATTTTTGACTCCCCACTTTTCCATTCCAGCTAAAACATTTTCATATCCCAAGCAGGCTTTTTCATTATCTGTTCCCACACATGACTGGGCTGCTACTGAGTTCTGGGTGCTGAGGTATATCCTCGGGAGACAGAGTCATAGGACTGAGTCTGTGCCCTCGAGGAGCTCCTGGTAGATGCGATTTTCAGATCTGGCTCTGCGTGGCTGTGGGCAAGTTACTTTACCATTCTAGGTCTCAGTTTCTTTATCTGCAAAATGAGTCTAATAGCAGCACCTGTGTCATGATACTGTTAGGAGAATTTGATAACCACCGTAGGCAGTTTGCTTAGCATAACTCCTACCAGACCACTATACTTTAGTGTAGGGAAAGTGAAGGAAAATGGTCAGGGCCCCTCAGATGTTCAGAATCTTGCCAAGCATTTGATGTAAACATGCACGTGCGCCCAGGTGTTCCTTGGCTAATGTCTAATGTAATTTTGTACGTGCGCCCAGGTGTCCTGGGTTATGGATTTGAGTATAAAGGACGAGTGGCTCTAGTCCACAGCCGCCCTTGTCCCCAGGATGCTCCTGGGGGAGCCACTAGTGGTGCTGGAGACTGTTGCTGCCAGTGCCCCCACGACCCTCCGAGAGGCCACTGCTGCAGCTACTGCTGCCGACTGAGTTCCTGTCATCTGCCAATGGCTCCCAGAATCTTTCCCAACTACTAGCGTGGACCTGCATGTGAGGGGTCTGGTGACCCAGCCTGGCATGTGAGGAGTCTGTGATCCAGTCTGTACAATGGGTTTGAAGGGTCTGTGGGTTCTAACCCCTAGCCCTTGCAATACAATTGGAAAACTTAGTGTAACTAAAATAATGGAACATTTGGCTTTAGTTATGAAATGCCTAGCTGTACAATTAGCATAGCTATTGCCTCAACCTGACAACTGGTATAGTCGTGTAGCTTTACAGTTAGTATTATTAGTATTTTAATTAACTGTGTTGGGAAAATATAGGAAAAATGGTCAGGGCCCCTCAGATGTTCAGAATCTTGCTGAGCATTTGATGTAAATAGGCACGTGTGCTCAGGTGTCCCTTGGTTATCGTCTAGTGTAATTGCGTATGTGCATTCAGGTGTCCTGGGTTATGGACTTAAGTAAAAGGATGAGTGGCTCTGACCCATGGTGCCTCCCAGCCCCACGATGCCCCTGCGTGGGGGGGGGGGGGGGGGGGGGCCC